CGGGCATCGCTCTAGAGTGATTTGCGGCCGTTTGGACGCGGGTCAGCGCGTCCGCCGGTGGCGAAAAATCACTTTAAGATTTCGGATCGGCTGGTTTGTCGAACAGCGCCCGGCCACGCGGGGTCAGGCGGCAGACCAGCCAGTCCGGCTTGATCGGGTTGTCGAACCAGGGCTCGGCCCAGCCGTGGTCGATGCAGCTGCGAATCGTGCTGGCGGCGTAGCGCTGGCCCTGCGCGTCGAACAGCGGCAGCTTGCCGCCGGGCTGCTCCAGGCCCCGCCGGAGATAGGCTTTCTGCGCCGCCGTCGGGCGGGCGGGCGAGCCGTCGCTTGCAGCTCTGGCCATCGGGCCTGTCCTTTCTCCAACCTTCGGCGTGGTTTGCGATCCCGACGAGGTGTGGGCATGGGGCCGTGGCGCGGCGCCGAGTCGCCTGTCCCCCTAATGTGGTCGCCTTGCGAGCGGGGGCAAAGCGAGTCAAACAGGCCGGACAGCGCTCGGGCGGCCGGGACAGTCTCGCGCCGGACAAGGCGCCCCCAGAAAGGGCGCCCCCAGAAAGGGCGCCCCCGGAAAAGGCTGCCCCCAGAAAGGGCGCGCCCCGACAAGGCACCGCCAGACAAGGAGACCAGCGGATGGACTGCAAGCTGCTCTACGTGACGGCCGAGGATGCCGCCGAGGCCAAGGCGCTGGGCCGGGCGCTGGTCGAGGCCCGGCTGGCGGCCTGCGCCAACGTGATCGAGAAGATGACGCCGATCTTCTGGTGGGAGGGCGCAGTGCAGGAGGGCTCCGAGGCGATCCTTCTGGCCAAGACGCGCGCCGACCTGGTGCCGGCCGCCACGCAACTGCTCGTCGAGCGGCATTCCTACGATCTGCCTTGTGTGGTCGCCCTGCCGATCGGGCCCGGCCATGCCCCCTTTCTGGACTGGATCGGCGCCGAGACCGCGACCCCGGAGGCGCACGGGCCGCCGGCCTGAGACCTCCCGTCGCAGGCCAGCCATGCGGGGCGGGCCGCTTGTTCCGGCCTCGGGCGCGCGGCAAACTTGCGCGCTCTTGGATCGGGTTGTGATCGTCTGGACCCGCGTTGCGGGTCCGGCGATCGCAGGAAGCCCGATCTAGACGATAGGGTTGGAGTGGTTTTCGCGGCCGGCGGACGTGCCGAAGCGCCTCCGGACGGCCGCACATCGCTCTAGACGGAAAGGCTCGCCATGGCTGCGCCCTCCGCCCGGCTGACGCTGACCTTCAGCTGCCTGGGCCACCTCTATGTCCACCTCTTCACGGCCTTCTACTTCGTGATCGTGCTGTCGCTGGAGGAGGTCTGGAGCCTGCCGTACCACGAGCTGGTCGAGCTCTGGACCCTGGGCGCGCTGCTGGTCGGCCTGGCGGCGCTGCCGGCCGGCTGGCTCGGCGACCGCTGGTCGGCGCGCGGCATGATGGTGCTCTACTTTCTGGGCATGGGCGGCGCGGCCATTGCCTGCGGCCTGGTCGACCAGCCCACGGCGCTGCTGCTCGGCCTGGCGGCGATCGGGCTCTTCGCCTCGATCTACCACCCGGTCGGCATCGCCTGGCTGGTCAAGTCCTCCGCCCGACGCGGCAAGGCCCTGGGGATCAACGGGGTCTTCGGCGCGGTCGGCGTCGCGGTGGCCGGCCTGGTAGCCGGCACCCTGATCGACCTCTTCTCCTGGCGGGCCGCCTTCATCGTGCCCGGCGTGATCAGCGTGGCGACCGGGCTGGCGCTCTGGGTCGCCGTGGCGCGGGGGCTGGTGAGCGAGGGCGCGCGCGACAGCGCCGGGCACCGCCCCTCCGGCCGGGGCGAGGTCCTGCGCGTCTTCCTGGTCTTCCTGCTGACCATGACGGTGATGGGGCTGCTGTTCCAGGCCACCCAGGCGGCGCTGCCCAAGGTGTTCGACCTGCGCCTGCGCGACCTGGTGGGCGAGGGGGCCTTCGGCGTCGGCGCCGTGGTCGCCGCGGTCTACACCGTGGGCGGTGCGATGCAGGTACTGGGCGGCTACATGGCCGACCGCCTGCCGCTCAAGTCGCTCTACGTCGGCGCCTTCCTGTTCCAGGTGCCGATCCTCGCCGGCATCGCGCTACTGGGCGGCGTGCCGCTGATCCTGGTGGCGGCGATCAGCGTGCTGCTGTCCACCGCGGCGTTGCCGGCGGAGAACATGCTGCTGGCCCGCTACACGCCGGAACGCCACCGCAGCCTGGCCTACGGCGCCAAGTTCGTGCTCGCCTTCGGCACCGCGCCGGCGGCGATCTGGGCGGTCTCGCAGGTGCAGGCGCTGACCGGCGAGTTCACCTGGCTGTTCGCGCTGGCCGCCGGGCTGGCCGCGATCGCCACCCTGGCGGCGCTGCAGCTGCCCAGCGAACGCAAGACGGAGAAGCTGCCGGCGGCCCAGCCGGCCGAATAGACAGCAGGGGGAGAAGAAGAGGTCATGTCGCTGGTCGACCGCCTGGACCATCTGGTGCTGACCGTCGAGGACATCGAGCGGAGCTGCGCCTTCTACGAGCGGGCGCTGGGCCTGCAGCGCGAGGAGTTCGGTGCGGGTCGCACGGCGCTGCGCTTCGGCCGACAGAAGATCAACCTGCACCCCAACCCCAGCCCGATCGACACCAAGGCGGGCCGGCCGACGCCGGGCTCGGCCGACATCTGCTTCATCGCGGCCGCGCCGCTGGCGGAGGTGCAGCGCCACCTGGAATCGCTCGGCATTCCGCTGGTCGCCGGTCCGGTGCCGCGCACCGGCGCCTGCGGTCCCTTGACCTCGCTCTACCTGCGCGATCCCGACGGCAACCTGGTCGAGGTCGCCGCCTACGAGGAGACGCCCGACTGACCGCGAGCGATGCCCGACCTGCGTGACTCGCCTNNCCTCGGCGCGTCCGCCGGTCGCGAAACATCGCTCTCCCCCTGCGAAGGAGAGCCGGCTTCTTGTGATCGGCGCGCCCAGGCCGTGGGGCCAGACGAGCACGGGTCGCGCTCGGCTATCGGCGGGCGGCGCGGCGCACCCGGTTGACCGCAAGATCCAGGGCCGAGAGGAAGGCCGAGCGGTCCTTCTTCGAGAAGGGCGGCGGGCCGCCAACCTGTTCGCCGCCGGCACGCAGGTCCGCCATCAGGTTGCGCGTGGCCAGCGCCATGCCCACGGAGTCCTCGGAGAAGACGCGGCCGTTGGGCGCCAGCACGTAGGCACCGGCCTTCACGCAGCGGCTGGCCAGGGGCACGTCGCTGGTGATGACGATATCGCCCGGCCCGGCGCGCGCGGCGATCCAGTCGTCGGCGGCATCG